GCTCCGCTGGCTCCGCCGGGGAAACGGCCGCGCTATCCCGTCCAGAACCCGCCTCGGCAGCTGCTGGAACAGAGGGATAAAGGGAATTATCCCACAGCAACGGAGCACCCTCAGCCACGGCCGCTCGGGCTGTAGCGAGCTGGTCCTGATGTGTGGAAGAGCACATGCAGGACCCCGGTGCTGATGCTCATCCCTCAGAGCTGATTGTTGCTCCCCTGACACCCCTGCACCCTGAAATCAGTGCAAATTTTCCTCTCTGCTCATCCCTCAGAGCTGATTGTGGCTCCCCTGACATCCCTCACTGAAATCAGTGCAAATTTTCCCCTCTTCACACCCCCCCTCACAGCATCAAAGTCAGCTACCAGCCCCATTTGGCACTACTCAGCCCAGTGAACAGCAAATTAAAATTAGTGACATGCAAAAAAACCCATCCCAGTAAAACCTGAGACAGTTATATATGAATATATCACCCTCTCCTCTATCAAAGCTAAAGAAACAAAAGCAGTGGCAAGCACCAGGGTTGATCCCATTTCCTGGCTCGCCAAACTCCCAGCAGGGCTGTGCTGTCAGAACTGATTCCATGCATTTCTCCTGGCCTTGCTGCCTCAGTGCAGCTCCTACCTGCACTTCTCCTTTGCCTGCAGTTCTTTTCAGCCTGATTTGAACACTGATAAATCACATCCGAGCCAGGTTCCTTACCCTTACATTTCCCTTTACATTTCTTCTCTTTACCCACAAACTGTGGCTCAGAATCACATTTCCTCCCCCAAAATTCACACAAATCATTCAGTGTGTACACATGATCATCACACCTTAGGTGCAAAGACCCTTTTGGTTTAAAAGTGTGTTTTATGATTTTATAAAACAATGGTGCTCTGATAACACAGTTGAGGTGAAAATCCCTGGTATGGGATGCACAGACAGGAAAAGGCAGCTCCTGCTTTACAAGAGACAAAAGAAACAAGAGACAAAAGGAAAATAATCTTGCTTGGATCTGTTTTGTGGCTGGGAGGCAGAAGCACAGATGATGTGGTGTGAAACTCCAATAAAAAAGGGTCTTGTCGAGAGGTAAATCTTACAGTTCCCCCCGAGCTTCAGCTTCTCTTCCCTACTTGGACTGGAATATGGATTTGATTTCCCTGTCAGTCATCACCACATTTCAAGGATGAATTTAGATCTATTTAATTATAACTGTGGAAAACTGACAGGCTCAAACCAACTTGCTGAATTAGAGCGGGAAAATTGTCAGTTTCAATGCAAAATTGAAACTATTTCAAATTATTATTGTAATAGTCTAGTCAATATTATGCCTTCCACATTTTCCTTTAAGAGAAAGAAAACCCCAGATACAAAAAAAAACCTGACTGAAACTTGTCTTCCACACAACACAGATCTTCAGTTTGAAATTCTTTGAGGTCAGGAAAACGGAACAATTTTAGATCCCAACTTTCAAAGCTACCCCTTGGCTTTTCACCAAAATTCCCCCAACTTCCCACCTCCCCAGGGATTCTGGAGAATCCCATAAAACACCAGCAGGTCCTGGGCTGATTTTATCCATCAGCTTCTGACTTTCTGTGGCAGCACCCAGGGATCCTGGGCACATCCAACAGCAGAACCAAGCCCAGGGCCCAGCCAGGAGATTCCTTTTTCCACAGCCCTCATTCCACGGCTTTGTGTAACAGATAAGAAATGAACCCCAGGAAAACTGGCTGCGGCATAAAAAGAGGGATAGAAGCTCAGCGTTAAGAAAACCAGTTCCAGTTCAGGAACCCATGGAGCTTCCTTTAATCTCTGATTATCATGGAAGGAATGGAAGCCCTGGAAAATGTCACTGCCATGGGCTGTGCTGTGTGTGCTGTGTCAGCTCCAGCTGCTCCAAGGAAAGCCAGAGGCAGAGCAGATCCCACCACAGCACTGGGCTCACTGAACAGGCACAGCAAACTCAGGGGGAGAACCCCTGAAATTCTGGTATTTGGGTGAAAAGTGCGCAATATTTTTTGTTTCTAAAGACACTCAAGTGCCATTTTTTCCAGATTTATTCCTCAATCCTGAGGCAGAATTGCAAAGATAAGCAAAACTCCCCAAATTCTAGGCCAGGTGTTTGAGCAGATCAAAGCTGCTCGTTGTGACTGAGATTAAAGCTGCTCTGAAATGAAAATCAATACACAATTTACAGACTGCATTTCAGGCTCCTCCTGCTCGGGCATTTGCCTTTCAACTCTTTAACAAAAGACAGTCACACTCCAGAAGATTTGTCTCTCTTTCCCCTTCTCTTCACCAGGGTGTGTTAAAAAGGAAATTTTTTGGCTACACAAAGTCCCTCTTCTATTAGAGCACACTCAAGGAGATTTTTTTTCTGGAATTTGGCAAATTAGACCAATGTTTTCTTCTTGACTTAAGGAAAAAAAAATAGAGAAGAAAAATGGTTAATGAAATATCACAAAAACATGGAATGGTTTGGGTTGGAAGAGACCTTAAAGCTCATCTCATTCCTCTATTTTGAGTACAAGCCAGCCACAAAGAGATATTTTCCTTAGCCATGGAACTAGAGCCACACAGCACTTTTTTCTCTCCTGGTGTTAAGGTAATTGTGTAGAAAATATTTTAATGGCCATGAAGAAACCATTAATGGCTACAAGGCAACATTTGGCACCAGGAATTGCAGCAGTGCAGGGCAGCACAGGGTACAACAGCCCTGAATGAATTTCTGCAGCCAATACTTATCCAAAATAAAACATTCCTCCTTCCTTAAAAAAAAAAAAAGAAGGAACAAACTAATATCCTTTTGCCATCTTACTCCACTATTCCATGCAAATCACTTTTATGCTCCAAGAATCATCTTGTTTCACTAATTTAACTTGCGTTGTTATTTACCTACAGACCCCCTGAAATTAATGGAGCTAGGGGGAGAGCAGCCAGCAGCAGTAACAGCAATGATCATTGCCTAAAAACATTCCTGAGATAATTCACATTTCAGGCCTTCCAGGCACACGGAGCTGCCGCAATCAGGATTTCTGTTGGGTTCTGGTTGCTACAAGGCAACATTTGGCACCAAGAATTCCAGCAGAGCAGACCAGCACTGTGGGTATGACTGCCCTAAATGGATTTCTGCAGCAAATACTAATCCAAAATAAAACACTGCCTCTGTCTTTAAAGAAAATCAAGTCCACACTAATATTCTTTAGCCATCTTGCTCCATGCAAATAAAGTTTATGCTCCAAGAATCATCTTGCTTCACCAATTAAATTGTGTTGTTATTTACCTCCAGATTTCCAGAAATTAATGGAAATAGGAGGAGAGGAGCCAGCAGCAAGAATAGCAATGATCTAAAACCATCCCTGAAATCCTTCACATTCCAGGCCTTCCAGGCACACAGGGCTGCTGCAATCAGGGTTTCTGCTGGGTTTCTGCAAGCTGCATTTGCTGAATGGGATTTATCCTCTGGGACAAAGGAACTGCATCTTCACTCAACCTTTCTCCTTTGTAACCTTTTTAACTCCTTTGTAATTCTTTTTAGGAGCAGGTTGTTGTTTCAATCTGCATGGAATTACCACCCAAATCCCACATTGAATTGTTCCTGTTTTGTCGTCCTGCTGCATTTCTGCTCTGTGTAGTTCCAGTCAGAGACAGAAAACTCCAGTTCCAACCTCTCCCCTTCACCTGCTGCTCACCAAGTGCTTTTTATTACTGAAAGTACAAAAAGGTTTCCTTTTCTCAGCTCTAGCTCCCCCAAAATCCTCACTTTACACCCCAAAAGTGCTATTTATTGCAGTATTTACTTTTAGAAATGCTACAAACAATTTTCTTCCAAAGTAATAACTTCCATCACTTTTTTCTCCAAAACCTTGATTACATTGCACAAAAGTGGAGATTTCAATTGTATCTCAATGATTTTAACTGCTTTTCAAACAGGAAAAAAGTAACAATACAAGAAACATCAACACAGAAATGTCTAATTTTTCAACTTGGTACTTAAACTGATTTAGCAATTACATTAATTAGGTAATCTGTTTAAGTAAAGCAGTCCCATATGCTTCATTTTACGTATGAGGAATAAAATGTACATGTATTTTCTAGGTCTTCAGGCAGTGTAAATCATCTGGCTTTTATTTCCTCCTCAGAACTCTGCTGGTTTACACCAGAAAAAAAACACACAGAGAGAGAGGCTTTTCTAGTAGGCAGCTGCTTAAAGTGACTTATGGTGGGATGGCACTGGGAAATTTGGGCCATGGAACAGGAGCTGAGCTCTTATCAGAACCATCTGCACATCCCCACACCAGCCTTTGACTATTTTTACCTAAATTCAGATTTTTCAAGGGCCTGTGACAGATTGGGAGGGCTCTCTTAACAACATATCATAAAGTGTTTTTCTCAGCGTTGAATTAGAAAGTATTTTCTTTCCTTATAAGGTGGAAGAGGGATTGTTGGGCTCTATTTATTCTGAAATAATAAATTGCAGAAAGGAGCTGCAGTGACAACGAGAGTGGCTGAATTTCAGAGCTGGGAGCAGGGGTGGTGCAGCTGCTCAGAAAAGCTCCAAAGCCAACAAGGGCTGGGAGGAGGAATTCAGGAGGTGCTGAAAAGCAAGAGGAGCCACGTGGCTGTGGATGAGAGAAATTGCCCTTGAATATGTGGCAAAAACTTCTCTAAACTACTTGGAAAGGAATTTTTCATGCTCAGGTCATGTAGTTCCTGGCAGGATTTGAAGTGGCAGTGGGAAGTGGGGCTCAGCTGCACCCTGGGGGGGTCACCTGCAAACCCAGTCCCCTCTGAGCCCACCCAAACTGGGCTGAAATGGGATCAGCTCACAACAAAGCTTTACTCACACCCCACCAACTGCTCTGCACTCACAGCTGCTCCGTAAAAGGGACAGAATTTATTTAATTAGTGTGCAGGGAAAGAATAAATGACTGTGCTTTATTCTAAATTCTCTAGGATTCAAGCTCAGGAGCTGAATTTTGTTAAATTTTGTTAAACAGCTACATTTTGTTAGAAATTCCTGGTCTCTTCAGGAACCTCCAAATGAGAGCAAGGATGGTTTTTGTACATTAAATACTCACTAAGGCCCAGCTCAGGATCAGAAGGGGTCAAACATAATTCTGATTTAACAACTTCACTGCAGCTTTAATCCCTGCCACTTTCTGGTGTTTTCCCCAGCCATTCACTATTTTTAAATTAAAAACAAGACATAAAAATTTCCCTATATATATTTAATTGTTAATAAATAACTGCTGAGTACCTTTCAAGTGAAAACAATGCCCCTGCTCAAGAAAAGAGAGAATAAGATGGAAATGTTCAGATGGATAAGGATTCTAACATGAATAAGGCATTTCTAAAACCCCAAACTGCCAAAATCTCCTTGCACTGCTGCTACTGCTGCATTTTGTCCTTTCCAAGAGCCTAAATTTGGCCTCCTTGCAGCAAGAATTCCCCCAAGGCTTGCTGGAGACACAAATTCCACCAGGAATTCCCCCGGAGCCTGGGCAGAGCTTGTCACAAACCCAGCAGGGACCAGCACCATACCACCCTGCCTGAGGATGCTCCACACAAAGCCCTTCCCTCTGTAAATCCACTTTTTGGGAGCCAGGGCAGAACCAAATCCCCAGAACTATCAACCAGCACCCAGAGAACTTCGGGAAGAATTCCTTCTTTTTGTTTTTGTTGTATTTAAACTTCCCAGCTTCAGTAGAAACACATTTACAAGTAAGAGCAGGAACATGGGTACATCCCCTAATTCAAAGCCACCCCCTAATATTAAATATTAATTAATTTAATTTATTATATTAATTTAATTAATATTAAATATTGTTCCTTCAGCACAAACCTCCAACCCCCCTTCTCGGTCCATACCTTCACCATTCCCTGCCAGGGGAGGGCTCTGAACAAACACCACAGATCCATTTTTAATACTGTCAGGAGACTCGGAGAGAGCCTGAAATAACAAAGAACAGAGTTTTCAGGACACCAAAGGGGTGAAAACGGCACTGGCAGCAGCCAGGGGAGGTGGGAGCGGGGTCTCTCACCTGGTAACTCTTCACTGTGCAGGTTTTGTCATCCTCAGCTTCCTCTGGCACACTCAGGGTATTCCCCATACTCCTGGCAGGTGGAGAGAAAAACCCCAAATAACCCTTTTTTTTGTCATTGAGATGAATGCACTGCATAATTCCAGTTAACAGCCAGCCAATGGGTTCAGGCTGTAAAAATCCCTAAAATCCCACCTGCCTTCCCAAGACACCTGCCCCATCCCCTTGTGCTCAGGGCTCCCGGCTGCTCCCCAAAAATGGCACAAAGCAACAAACTTTTCTGGTTTGTGGAGGCAAACTGGCTGCAGTCACACCTGCAGTGCTCCTCAGGGCTCAGGAGAGAGCAGCAGAACAAGGCTGAAATCTGTGCAGAAATTACAACAACTTCTGTGCTTCTGTTTGGCTTCGATTTAATAAAAGAGAGAGGAAAAGAGGCAGCGTGGAAAGGCACCACACATGGAAACTCTGAACTGCAGCCTGTGTACAAGTTCACAGAAATCTTCTGGGGGTTTGCTTTGTTTCTCTTTTCTTCCTAATTTCAAATGCATTTTCGCTAAAAATGGGAAAACTTTCTACACAACCCTAAACACAATCCCCAAGCACCAAAGCCTGTTCTCTGCTGTGGCTGCTCCATCCCTGGCAGTGCCAAGGCCAGGTTGGGCAGGGCTTGGAGCAAACTGGGACAGTGGAAATGTCCCTGCCATGCCAGAGGTGGCACTGGGTGGGCTTTGAGGTCCCTTCCACCCGTCTGTGATATAGAAAATCCCCATGTGCGCTATTCTGCCCTATTTGAAGGAAAAATGACAGGTCAGTGCCACCTAGAGACAGCAGCGCTACAAACACAGGATCAGGCTGGTGTCACAGCCCTGCCCTCCTGCCAGCACAGCTCTGGGACCAGCCCTGGCTCCAGCTGATTGTCCCTTCTGTGCCAAACAACAGCTCCCGCATTCCCAGGCGATGTTTGGCTTTTCCCAAAGCGCTCACACCTCTGTTTATACGGTCACATCCATTTTTCTCTCATCTCATACACCGCGTGTTGAAGCTGAAGTTGTTCAATGTGAAGGCAAAGAGGTTGTCTGGGAAATGAAGGAGCTCTCACGGTGTGTTTGTGAATGAGATAATCACGGATAATTGCAGAAGAATTTGGTTGGAAGGGACCCAGTGCAAGCCCTGTCCAGGCAGGGCCACCCGGAGCAGGGGACACAGAGCTCCTCCAGGTGGGTCTGGGGTGTCTCCACGCCCTCCCTGGAGCTGTTCCAGGGCTCTGTGGGAATTTCTTCCTCTTTTCTTGCGAGAGAAAATTTGACAACTTTTATAGAAGACAAATTTTAAGGACTGAGAGGGGAAAAGAGATGATTCTGATACAAGAACTTTCTTCAAAATCAGTGGAAAGCCCTAAAAACTCAAGAGGAGCTGGAGTAATTCCTCTCCTTAGGCTTCCTTACTAGGTACAGGTTTTTCACCAAGCTCCAAGGATATTATCCTTGTGGGGGGCTCCCTCAGGCCAGCCAGAATCCAGCCCGACTGGTTCCAAAAGGAACATGAACTACCAGCTTCTACAGCTCTGAAACAATCCCTTTTCCAAATTATGCTTCACTGCTTCCATTGTACGTGCAGAAAATAATTCAAAAGGAAAATAAACCTATTTTTAATTGGTTTTAATGTTATGTGAACCATAGTGTGCCAAGTTCAAGGCTTGGGAAAATTCTCCTTTTTCACTCTCTCTCTCTCAAAAATCGTTGGTTTGGTCCTGGCAGAATGGTAAAAAATAGGAGAGAAAATTACAGCAAAATTTATGATCTGCTGAGTACTGCTAAAGGCAGCCAAGCCTCACCTTCCTGATGTATTGACCAGCCTGGAATATTGCAGTCACCCCTGTCTATTAATGCCAAAAGTCCACAATTAATTCCTCACTAAAACTTACCATATGTCATATTTAAACATCAGAGTAAAGAATCCATTTTCCTGCCCTTGGAACCCAGCTGAGCCTGAGGACTTGGCCATGTGCAGGTGGCAAAGCAGAATTTTCAGCTGTGATTGGAGTGGAGCGAAGAAAGGGCTGATAATGGGACAGAGTTTAGAAATTCAGCTTACCTGGAGCGCAGCTCTGGTCCTGCAGGGACAGGCACTGGGACACGTGCTGGGGATGAGGAGAGCAGGGCCAGGTGGCGCCGAGCCCGGGCACAGCTGAGGAGGAGCAGTGGCACAGAGGGACAGCAGAAGGGACAGCAGGAGGAAGGTTTGGGATGAGTCACCTACAGCAAACAAGAAACACCCAAGAACACCTCGAATCCAGCCTGGCAGGGGCTGGGCACGCAGGACGTGCTGCCTCACGGTCCTTAAGGCTCTTGGGACAGTTTTATACAATTCTTTCAGCCACTCCACACTGGAGCCAAGTGGGAAAAGCAAAATAGTTCAAACATTCACGCCCTGGGCTCTCAGGGAGGGGACAGCTCCTCAATGGCACCAGCTGAACAGTCAATCCTGGCCGGGGGAAAGGCTCTGCCACAAAGCTGGGCTTCCCTTTCTGCTGTCCTCCTGCAGGAAAAGCCAGGACACTGCGGGGACAAAGGCAGAGCAGCTGCTTTAAACTCAAATAAAGAAAACGAGACTTGCAGGGTCCCAAGATCCTTGAGCAGGAGAGCACAGGCAGCACTGCTGGAGCACAGCAGCCAAAAACAAACTCCAAAAATGCATTGCAAAAGCAAAACCCGGGAAAAGCCAAGCCAGCAGCAGAGCTGCACATCAGGGAAGGAAGGATATGGAGGATATGGAGGATATGGAGGATATGGAGGATATGGAGGATATGGAGGATATGGAGGATATGGAGGATATGGAGGATATGGAGGATATGGAGGATATGGAGGATAAGGAGGATATGGAGGATATGGAGGTATTACCTGGGGGAGAGGGGCTGGGACAGCCTCTCGAGCCGGAGCTGGTCCAGGTGAGGTGCTGCTCACCCAGCCCCGACAGCTCTGTCCCTGCAGTGTCCCTGTCCCTGCTGTGTCCCACAGCCCAGGGAGTGCTCACAAACACTGGGTGCAAACACAGCCAGGGTGGAGCAGCCCCGTGCCCCTCCCCAGCCCTCTCCAGGTGCTTTCTGCTCTCTCTGGCCACCCCAGCCTGCTCCGAGGCACCTCTGATCCCTGGCTCTGGGGTCCCTCACTGCTTTGGGAATGGTGACATCGTGCTGGACACCCACCAGCCCCTTCCCAACACGGACTTTTCCCAAAATGCAGAACAAGCCCGAAGTTCTCTTAGTGGCAGGACTGTTTGCTGTTGCCAGCGTGGCTCCTAACCCCCCTGCAGGGTGTGCAGAACGTCTGAGTGGTGACATTTTAAAGCCACTGTCACGATTTGCTGCTCCCCCAGGTGAGTCACGGAGCCCACGCTCACACTGGGGGTGTCTGCAGCAGGGAGAGCTTTTCCTTCCCAGCTTTCACAGCACCTCGGTCAGCAAAACCTGGCTTTGGAAAGTGAGGCTTCCACAGGCAGTCAAAATACCAAGAAAAAATTCCCAATTTTACGTTTTGAAAGGAACAGCATAGCAATCCATAGGATCTGTTTCCCAATTCCAGCTGGTGCTATTATTTCGGAGTTGCTTTATGGGTTTGGGTTTAATTTTGTTATTAATCATGAAAAAGAAAGGAGAATGGATTTGTCATGAGGGTTGTGCTGGCTGTGGAGGCTGTCAGGTGTTTCAGGGGTGATGAGGAACCTGCAAGGCTGGAAACAGAGCAGGAATCTGCATCCAGAGCCCCAGCAGGGCGTGGGAAGGGAGGGGATATCCTGATTCCCTCACAGGGAGGGGATAACCTGACTCCCTCATTTCTTCCAGCACTGGGTCAAGCACCTTCCTCATTTTCTCCTTGGTGTAAATCCCTGTCTGCTGCAAGCTCAGGTGATATCCCACGAGTTCAGTCTCAAAATTCCATCCAGAGATGGAGTAGGAGTTATGAATGGTTTCAGGATTGTTCATGTAGGGACAGAACTTATCCCTGGGCTGAGGCACAAAATCCCAGCCTGGCTGTGAAACCACCCACCCATGCAATATTGCTGGACTAATTGTCCTTTTTATCTTTATTTTTTGGTCATTCTCCCCTGGTTAAAATATTATTGTGAAGTGATTTTGAAATGCAAAATGTAAATACTCAATTCCAGAAATGCTTCATTTCTGTAAGAGGTCATTACATTCACTCTACGTTTGCACCATATTTCACCTTCCGTGGTTCTGTTTGCTCCTCAAATGTCTTCAAATTCAGCCTCAAAACCTTGATGTTCATCACAAAGGAAGTAATTTCGATTATCATGTCCTTCACCTGTGAATATAAGAATAACAGTGCTCCTTTTCCTCAAAAAAAAGCTTTTTCTTGATCTGAGCCATCACCCTGAGCCTTATCCTGATTCTTTTTTCCCAGTTGTGTGGACAATGAACCATCCATTCTTTGAGGTGGCTTTCAACTCTTTAATATTCTTTTCCAGTAATTTCAAAGCCATCTCATGTTTTCATCAAGGACAGGTCAGAGGGGCACACCATGAGTTTTGTTTTACCAAATTGGGAATTATTTAGCTGGGTGGCAGCCAGAGAAAATCTCCAAAGCAAAGGAAACTGTGCTGCTTTCATGATTTTTCAGCACCCAAAATGCTATTTTTTTCTTTCTAAAAATCTCCAATGAAGCTGTCACCAAATAAATCTTCCTCCCCTGCAGGAAATGCTCAGCTCGTGCATCTGACAGCTGCACAAAACTTCCTGTTCATGAATGGCACAGAGCTCCCAACAATTATCAATGATTAACCAGCTTCTTTTATGACTGTCCAGAACGAGAGCCAAGAGCATTCAAATATTGACAATGGAGGAGCAGATGACTCCTGGGCTATATTTGCATGTGTTTTTGGCACACGTGGGCTGCTGTGTGGGTTGGAGGTGAGGGTTTCCATCTGGCTGCTGCTGTCAAGGTTCATTCAGCAGAGCACGAGGGATGAGCAGCAAAACGAGGAAAGGGAGGACAGAAGGAACCTGCAGGAGAACAGCTGAGCAAAAAGCAAAATTAGGCATAACTCCAGTGGAATTCTGGCAGTTTGGAGCAAAATATAAATGAGGTTTTGACTCAGCTTTGATGTTTCACTCCGAGGAGGACGGATGGACTGAATCACGGATTCTTTCAGACGAGAGAGCCCAACATTTGCATGGATTGATGGATCCTGGGAGAGCCATGGGAGCCACCTGAATCCCAGATCCAGCCCAGCCCCTGGGCCTCTGAGATCCCCAGGGTTTGGTCCTTCACGTGAAGCTGCATTCCTAAAACCCCGAGTGACACCTCTGAGGGTCACCCTGGCAGCTCAGCCCGCTTGCAGTGGGCTTCCAAAAAATCAGAGGCAGTGCAGTGACCGATGCTGTTACACAGCTGGGGCTCAGACCCCAACACAAGGTGCTGGCACTCCTGAATTCCTGATATCCCTTACAAAATCCACAATCCTTGGGACAGACATGAGCTGGTGCAGAGGTGGAGTCATCCCCATCACCACGAACATCCTCCTCTTCGGGGGAGCAGGTGCTGCTGTGAACTGAGAAAGGAAAGCACATCTGAACTCACGCTCCTGCAAACCTGAAAAGCCTGGCTCAGAGCTCCAGGGAAAACTGTTTCTGTTTTAGTTCTGCTTAAGTTCTAGGCTTTATTGGATCTGGCTCCTTTACAGCTGGTGGCTCCTGGTGCCTGCCCCAGAGTTATGTTTTCAGCAAGTGGGATTTCCCTGCTGGCTCTGAGCTCCCATTAACGGTTGGATCTGTCTTGCGTTTCACCAATGTGGTCTGACTGGGTAGTGAAAAGGAGAGAATAATTGCTGCAGTGCAGGAGCTCTGGGGAAGCAGCACCATCCCTAATTGTTACCATGCTGCCCGTGCCTCTCAGCAGGCCCTGGCTGAGGCTGCAGCCCGTTCCTGTGGTCTGCCCCTGCAGCAGCTCCACCAAAGCCAGAGGAATCCCTGCAGATCCACGCTGGGCTGGGAGCAGCCTCTGGCTCACACGCTCCAGCTGGAGCTCAATGGGAAACATTCCCTCATTCTGCTTCCCAGAGATGCCTGAACAGCGTTTCTAAATGCTATTTCAGCCTCGGGTTCCTGCAGACTGTGAGTCACGGTGTTGATGTGGGGAGGGAGCTGCTGATCCGATTGTCTCTTCTTCCCCCATCACAAACCCCCACCAGGTTCCTGCTGCCACTATTTTATTTTTCAAAGAGGGAGAATTACAGACTCTACACCAGCTATTTCTCCATGTGGGAGCTTCTAGAACAGATAAAAGGTTCCTGTGTCAGGATTGAGACAGAGAGTTATTGTAGACGTGGTGCCTCAGTGGGTGGAACAGGCATTTGAACCACAATTACTCTCCTGTAGGAGCATTTTAAGTCTCTATCAAATATGCAGTGATGATAACAATACTATGTTAAATATTCACCTCCTTCATGCAAGTCCTTCCTTCTGGGTCACGACTTTCCCCAGCTGGCTCTGCTTTGAACCCCTGGCTCTGCTTTCCCCTGTCAGTGCTTCACCCTTCCCCTTCCCAAGCCTGAAATATGGAAAATTTGAGGAGCTGCAGCTGCTGCAAAGAAGAAGGAGTGAAAAAAAAGCCTTATAAACTCTGTATTTAATTCCTGCCTTTGGTGAGGAAGCAGCAGGCACATGAGCATGGACCTGCAGCACGGAAAGTGATGATTTTTGGGGGGGTTGGATCCACGTGGATCAGGTGTAGGATGTTCTCCTGTCCTGAGGAGGAGCCAGGCACGAGGCTGAGCCTGCTCTGATGGGATGTGCAGAGCTGGGAACAGCAGAGTCCCCACAGCCAGGTTTGTCCTGGCAGGTTCCTGGTGCCAGCTGGACATGGGTGAAGTGATGTCCACACTCCTGCCCTTCTGCCAGGTGCTGGTTTGAAACCTTTGTTTCCCCACCCTCGTGGCTTTGGGCTGAGGGAAAAGTCCAAATTTTATTCTATTTTGTGTGCACTTCTCCCAAGAAAAGACCTCGATGGCCTCAGTGCACCTTGTCCCTGTCTGCTCACCAGGATCACCCTGGAGAAGGGTCCCTGCAATTCCAGCTGTGAATTCCTGCAGCTGCCCCACAGCACGGGGTTAAAGCTCCTCCTCACACAGGAGACACCCCTCAGGTCGCTGTGCTCAGGTCACTGCAGCACCAGGGCAGCTGCAGCCACTTGTTCTCCCTGGAGAAATACTATTTGCTAAACTTCACAAGGATGGATATCCCTGATCCAGCCCACTGAAGGGATAAAAGCTTTTCAGCTAAGAGAGGAATATTAATCT